CTGGGAAAATGGCACGTATGGTCACCCTAGCTTAACTAACAGTCTAACCCTAGGTTTATGAGTCTATTGCAGCATCACCCACAAGTGACACCTGCTTAGCCATATCTCCTAGCAAAAAACTAAATAGGTAAAATCCTCCTTCCTTTTCCTTTTTGATTTCATCTTATTGTTTTATTTCAGTTTTGTTTTATTTGTTACCCTCGTAGTGACATTTGAGAAGAACCATCAATGTTTTGAGTAATAGTTTGATGACATGTACTAACCCAGTCATTAGTCTACGTTGCTTGCAGCCATTAACAAAGATACTCAAAGTCCTTAGTTCTTTTTGTCACGGCGCGGTACAGAAACACACCGTGTAAACAGGGGTCTGGGTCCAAGTGCAGGTTTTATTCAACGGAGTCCGGGAGGATGGGAAGTGGCGACCTCTGGTGGTGAGAGGGAAAACACCAGACGCCAGACCCTGACACTTTTCACAAACACTAAATTGTAGCACCCTGCCTTACTAGCTGCCCCACATCAGCTATTCCCACCTTACACGGCCTACACAGCCGTTCCCCATACAGATAGCTTAACACCTTTGTACGCTTGAAAAAACAACCAGACAGGACTTGGAAAAAGAACTGTTAAAAACAGCGTATGTGAAACTTAATGAGAGAGACAAGGCTTTAAGACAAGACTAGAGATAAGGCCTTAGAAGGCCATCTGCATGCAGCCAGAGCTGAGGTCCAAACCCTGACTCTTGACAATAAAATAATGTTCAGATTTATATACTTCCTTGACCAGTTTTTAGCAGCAATTTACCAGTAGGTATGAGTAGTAAGGTTTTTTTTTATATATGGTAATAGCAGTCATTTTTGACGGATATATTAGCCTACCATTTGTATTGCCATAGTTTAACTACAAATATTAAACTATAGTTACTATAATGAAACCATGTTAAATTTGTGGTTACTGTAGTTTTACCACAAATAGCATAATTATGGTTACTATAGTGAGAGAATTGTAAATTTGCACCGCCGCCTCTGGAGCCTCATGAGCGGGCACCGCCGCCTCGAGAGGATCGTGAGCGGGCACCGCCGCTTCGAGAACATTGTGAGCGGGCTCCGCCGCCTCGGGAGGATCGTGAGCGGACGCCGCCGCCTCGGGGGAACTGAGAGCGGCCACCGCCGCTTCCGGAGCTTTGTGAGCGGACACCGCTGCCTCGGGAGGATCGTGAGCGGGCACCGCTGCTTCGGGAACATCGTGAGCGAGCACCGCCGCCTCGGGAGGATCGTGAGCGGGCACCGCAGCTTCGGGAACATCGTGAGCGAGCACCGCCGCCGCCGAATACACTAATTAACTTGTATTATCTTTGGAATTAAGAGCTTTTATGCTACCAAACCTATAGAAATGGAACAACTGGATGAAGATAATCAACTTTATTTTTTATTTAACACTCCTACAGCTACATTGAACTCATTTTAATACTTGTTTAAAAGTTACAGATTTCTTTTTAAAAGAGATATTGAAGGCTATGATATGGTTAATTTTAGGCAAACAAAGCAAACATTGAAAAGAAAACAATCTTTAGTCTTTTCAGAAAACTGGATCATACTCTCTCAGTATGGCCATGGGTGTGCAAGTTGCGCCAAAGAACCGTCTTTTTGAATTTTGCCATCAACTGATCAGTGTTCATAAAATGCTCATAAATCAGTGAACGTCACAACATGTGGCTAGGGTAGATTTATATACTTCCTTGACCAGTTTTTAGCAGCAATTTACCAGTAGGTATGAGTAGTAAGGTATTTTTTTATATATGGTAATAGCAGTCATTTTTGACAGATATATTAGCCTACCATTTGTATTGCCATAGTTTAACTACAAATACTAAACTATAGTTACTATAATGAAACCATGTTAAATTTGTGGTTACTCAGATCATGTGACACTGAACACTGGAATAAAGATGCTAAAAATTCAGCTTTGATCACAGAAATAAATTACGTTTTATTATATATTCACATAGATAACAGTTATTTAATATTATTTTAAAATATTACTTTTTATGATATTTTTCAGTATCAAATAAATATAGCCTTGGTGAACATAAAAGACTTTCAAAAAACTGTAAAAATCTTACCGACCTCAAACTTTTTAACTGTAGTGTAGATGTGAATGTGCTTAAGTTTCATATGGGTTTGAAAATTTGGTAACACTTTAGATTAAGGAACACTATTTACCATTAACTAGTTGCTAGTTAACTATATTGGCTGTTTATTAGTACTTATAAAGGACATATC